CAAGGGCGCAGAGCCGCCCCCGGAGCAGCCGCCGCCGCCGCCGCCGCCACCGCCCAAGAAGCTGCTGTCGCCCGAGGAGCCGGCGGTGAGCGAGCTGGAGTCGGTCAAGGAGAACAACTGTGCTTCCAACTGCCACCTGGACGGGGAGGCGGCCAAGAAGCTGGTGGGGGAGGAGGCCCTGGCGGGGGGCGACAAGTCGGACCCGAACCTTAATAACCCCGCGGACGAGGACCACGCCTATGCTCTGCGGATGCTGCCCAAGACCGGCTGCGTGATCCAGCCTGTGCCAAAACCCGCGGAGAAGACTGCCATGGCCCCGTGCATCATCTCCTCGCCCATGCTCGCCGGGCCCGACGACCTGGAGCCGCCGCTCAAACGGAGGTGCCTCCGAATTAGAAATCAGAATAAGTAAAAGGTTTGTATGTCCACCGCGGCGCTCCTCCACCAGCCAGGGCCCTGCGCCTTGCTGCGTGCAAGCAACCAGGCCGAGACGCCAGAGTTTCGTTAATAATCGTGATTTTTTTTCTTTACCTTCCGTGTCTTACAGTACGCTTTGTGTGAGCTTGTACTGTCGACGTTTTGATCCAACACCGGTGACACTGAGCAGTTGTTTAGTAGCAGCATTCCCATTTTACAGCTGAGGAAAGAGCCACAGTGTGTAAGTGCCCTGCCCAAGGTGACGAGGGGCAAAGACCAGTCTTGGGCTCAAATAGAAACACTCTCTTTAGTTACACTTTTACACTGTTATTAGGCTCAGGTTTAACATGTACCCTACTGGAGGAGAGGCGGATGTGGAAGGGAGGAGAGATTATTTGGAGAAACTAAATGCCCCGGCTGGACGTTGCGGGGTGGTGGTGAAGGCCAGGAACCCAGGAGCAGGGCCACGCCCTAGAATCAGTAACTGTCGCTGGCACAAGGTCCCAACTCACCAGATTTTATTGCTAACCACGGATTGCAGCTGTAGGATGAGAATAAAAACTAACCTTACATGCGTGCCTATGCCAGCTGAAACCAGGCCACAAAGCCGCATTTGCCTGGAGGGCTGATGGAGCAGTGGCTCCTAACTTCTGGGCATGGGTGTCTTCCTTTGGTTTGGCACCAGCCGGTATTTCACAGGGAGGGCCTCAGGCATCAGCAAGCCACTTCGCTCTCCCCACTTTGGGGGTTCAGTCGCTGAACTGAAGGGGTGCTCACCTCCCCAGGCAGCGGGAAGCTTTCCTAAGGCAAAGCGTGGCCTTGCTGAAGTGAATGTGCATCTCTGACCTTAGGGGAAAGTCCTGCTGGGTGCTGAGTGAGCCACGGAGAGTGAGCGGGAACTGTTGCAGTGAGGGGTCGGGGAGGGCGGGGCAGCGTGGGTGCCACCGCAGCCGCATACGGCCTGTGTGCTCCTCCTGGCAATCTTGGTGGGATAGGCATCGGGTGCATGTTGCCAAGGAGGCAGATGCAGCTCTGAGATCGTGTCCAAATCAGAGCTGCTAATTGAGGGAACCGGACCCAGAGCCTCAATGCTCCTCTCCCCCAAGTGGGCAGCAAACGGGTCAAAATTCAGTGAATTTATAACTTGTTTAGGGAGAGCAGAGAAACGGTCATGTGTTAAGCCCTTAACTTGTGCGCCCCTCTTTCTGGGGTACAGAGTATCCTGGGGGGATACAAAGTACGATGCCGTACCAGCCTGTGCCTGCCCTCTACGCACTGTCTGGTAGGGCTCTGACCCAGGGAGGAAGGAGACCTGGGGAGGAAGGCGGGAAGAGTAATTGCTCAGTTTGCACCCTGTAGCTCTCTTCTGTGTTTTTCAGTGGTGGATCTGTAAAAACAATTATCAAAACGTCAAAACATCAAATGTCAAAAGGTTCCATCAAAACATCATTTCCTCATGTAGATGAGGAAACTGAGACAGAAAAATGATGTAACTTGCCCAAGGTTACCAAATTAGTAAGCAGAGCTGATTCATACACAGACCTGACTCCAGAGCCACATTTTCTTTATCCACTGTAGAGGATACACTCATTCATTCCTTCATCATTCTATTTACTCAAATCCTGTAATCTGTTTCAGTTGTCTTAAGGGAAAGTTCCTAAAAAAAACAACCAAACCAAGCCTCTACTTAGCAACTTCCTAAATTTTTAAGACAATATTTCATTATTGTTTGTCTAGCTGCAGCCACCCTAGACTACTAATCCGTCACTCCACAGTGGGACATACAAGCATGGAGTGTGACACTCAGGTGACGTGCATCTCTAAGCTGCTGCATGTACACCGGCACCTGACCGAACCAGAGGTCTGCTTGGGGAGCACAGAGCTAGAGCAAGGGCCTTGCCGGGTGGTGCAGGAAGAGTTCCTCAGCTAGTGTGCTTTACAGTTTCCTTTTCCATTGATGGCTTTACCAGTAGAAGCTGAATACTAAAAATGAGTTTACCCTTCCTTCCTGACCGTACATCTGCAAGTTCTGCTGTCTAAAGATGAATGGCTTCAGCCTACTCTCGGTCACCTCAGCTGAAACTGTCCCTGGTTTGTTCACAAGAGTAATTTAATCTGGTTGATGAAGCTTTGAGTAAGGGGCAGGTATGTGACAAAACAGCGCCTGCCTTCAGAAAGTGTTGGGAATTGTCATTGTACATGCATCTGAGGATCACCCATTCAAACGATACTGCAGGAAGAATGGGAGGATGCAGTACTTTACCACCATTGTTACCAAGGTGAGAAGTGGCTAGAATAGAAACACTAGCCTATAAGGACCATGGGACCAAAAGACCATGAAAGCTTAAAATATATGTTGGTTATTTGGAAGATCTCTGCTCCTGAATAAGGAATCAGGTGAGGGTCTCGTGTATAGACCAGAATCATTACTAAAAATACTAAGCTGGCTTCAGTCAGCCAGTGACAAAATTGTTCGATACCTCTTGAGACCAGAGAGTTCTTTTTATGATCAGTCTCCCCAAAATTACAGTTTTCCCTACTCAGAAATATTCAGGCTTTGCTGACTATGGAGAGGTGACAAGGTGAGTGATTTAAGAGTGGGGAAGAACCTCCTTCCCTCCACTAAATCACACCTTCTCTGGGCCCCTGTGCTTCCCTGTCACCTCATAGCACAGCTTAAACTGCCGTAATTCACTCTTGTCTCCAGCCCTGCCTGATCTTCCATACTTACACGGCGCTGTTTTTCTTCCATACCTTCAGAAATCTGGCCCATTCCTACCGTTGGGGAAATGGGAAATGCATCCATTAAATAAAGAGCTCTGTAGCTTTTGTGCCCTGATGGTGGACACTGTTTGGTAACATGTTGAAACCAAATGAAAGCATTAAAAGCCAAAAGCAAAATGCAGGCTTAGATGCAGGGGACAAGGTGGTGAGAAATCTCCCCATGTGCTCATTGGCAACTCATGACGTGATTTATCACAAGAGAGTTTGTCAGCAACTTTGGCCTGTATCTTTCATCCTTCTTGCCTGCCTTTCTCGTACTGTATTAAGATTTTCAAAAAACATTTAAAAGAGATCCAAAGCAGACTGTTATCTCAACATCAGCAGCCCAGCTGCAGTTGTCTCCAGAGAAGTCATATTTGTTAGTTCTTTGCAAGTGATAGCCCTCCCTTCCCATTTGAAATTATTCTGTTCCTGCTTACCTGACTTTCATGCATTCTTGCTTATTGATACAACTACAAAGGATTTCAATGGGCAGGTTTTTTCCTCGGATGTAGAACTGAATTTTAACTGAAGATTTTTAAAGACTGTAAGCTCCCTTTAACTTTTCAGACTCCAAATAGCAGTTTTGCAGCTTCTGCAGCTAGAACTCCCCCACCAAATAATAAGAAAAACAATGTATAAACATTTCCCAAACTATTCTATCCACAAAGAATTCCATTTATAAATGTAATACTCTCTGTTTTGTGCCTGAGAGCTTGGGGGATAGCTGTTTGTATTTGTACATTTTCAGAATTTCTACAGTTTACAGTTGTTTATGGTACATCAGGGAGTTCAGAATAACCATTTGCAAATGTTTGAAGATATTCAAAAGAAAATACTCCCCCTCCTCAATTTTCCAGGGAAATGACATCTTCTCTTCAAATAAAATAATCAGTGGACAAAATGTGTTCCAGAAGTAACCCTTTCGCTCCTACTTATTCATTATCTAGGAATAACAGGTCTGTATAGCTTCCCACATTTGTGGGAAATTTTGTACATGTTTCTAAGGCCCTAGAAACATATAAGAAAACATATATAGATATACTAAAACATGAGACTCCTTGGGCGTAAGCCCATGACGCTACTCCAGGCTGACCAGTGGCAATTTGACATTTTATTTTCTCGGTGTAAGCTGCAGGAGGCACCTGTAATTTTGGCTTCTTGGAGTTTAGCCTGGTTCTGGAGCCACTGTGCTAGAAGAAACTGTTTCCAGGCAAGGGGTACACCTCATTAGGGAAGCCAAAAGATGACCAGTAACCTTGTGCCGGTTTAGTTTCTCGGACTGCGAAGTTAAGAGAGTAGGTTGTCATGGAGGAGGCTGGAAAGAAAGTCCATGCACTCAAAATAATACTGCGGGTGCCTACTTTTTAAGCAAGCAGAGCGAAGTGATAAGAGGAAATTGATGCAAATTGGATGTGCTCAGATCTTATGCGAGGCTTGAGCTATTTACTATTCTGATATTGATGATTTTTAAATGTTCACTTGTGGCAGTACCTGAGATAAAGCTTAGGGTATCTGTATGGATGCAGTTGGCAGCTTATTTCTAGAAGGAGGGACTTCAGAGCAGCATGTAAAGCCCCAGTGCCAGTGTCATGCACCCCTGTGACTGGTTCGGACCCAGGAGAGCACTTGCTGTGCTCACTGCAGACTTGCAGGAGACAGCGTTCAGAAAAAGTGTCAGGCTGGGCCTTAGCCATGCCCCATTCAATGAGCTGCTGGGTCCTTGTTAACCCTTATGACAAAGTGCTTGAAGGGAGCGTTTCAATGTGCAAACATCTGACTTTTAGGTATTTTGTAACCAGATTACGCTGGAATATGAAATGACATATGTGACCAGGTATTTATTTCTTTCTATAGCTATAACCTTCTGTCTTCAGCAGAGCTGGAAGTAGGGTAAAGCAGGAGAAGCGCTTTGTGCATAGACTTTCAAGAGAGACTCAGCCAGGGTGGTACAGGTGCAACGTTGTCCTGGCTGTGGTCTCCAGAGCTTCTGATCCATGCGGCAGTTTCCCCAAAACTAGTCTCCTGACCTCCTGGACTAGCCGATGGATGGTCTACAGCAGCTTCCTCTGAAATGTCATGGAAAACCAGACCTGCCTCTGCAGAGAGGCATTGTTTTGGAGGACAATTCCATAGAGTTTGCCTTCAGAGGAAGTGTGCGCTGCCTCTCTGAAGGATTATCTTACATTATTATTGGGCAGTATCTGAGTGGGAAAATTCTTTGTAAGTTTTCCT